GTGTGTGTGTGTGTGTGTGTGTGTGTGTGTGTATTTGTGTGTATACGTTGTGGCCTAAGTAGATCTTGTGTGTGACTGTGTGTGTGTAAATACATAAAGTTACAACTTACTCAGCCTACCTCCAATTATGCTAGGCCTTTTAAAACTAATATACCAAAAATTTGAATGTGCTTATGGGTCTCAGTTCATATTTTAAATTTTGTTAATTTTTTAAAATGTAATTTAAAAGCCAAATGAATGTTTTTGAGAATTTTATTATAAAATTTAGGAAATAGAAAAATATTGATACAACCTATCTTTGAATCAAATGCAGTAATATCTCCCTTAGTCTGACACGTGAAAAATACCGTGGTTAATTCCTGTTTCTGTCACCTCTGTGGAGATTGAGTCTTTTTCATATTGATGTCAGCTGTTTCTGGTTTTCTTGTTTAGTGTTTTCTCTTTGTATTCTTGGTCTGTTATATTGCTAACACACCTGTTTATCTCTGATGAATTTTGAAAAATAGCTCTTACTGTACACATAAGTTTTGTCCAATATTGCAGCTACTTTTTTAGCTGGCAGATTTTTCACTTTCTAAAATAGCTTTATGGAGATTAATTTACAATAAGAGTCATCTGTTTTAAGTGTGCAATTTAATGAATCTTACCATTTTTGTAAAGTTGAGAGCATTTCAGTCACCCTAAAAAGAGGCCATCTCTCTGTATCAGTCCATTTGTACTTCCAGCCCTTAGCAACCAGTAATCTATCTTCTGTATCTACATATTTCATTATAATATTTTATGTAGACTACTTATGCAAAGCTGTATATAGTCATCATGCTGTAATAAGTATCAGTGCTATACTTCTGTTTATTTCTGAATAGTATTACATTTTATGGATAAATGTTTTGTGTATTCTCCAGTAGATGTACATGTAGGTTATTTTCACTTTTTTGGCTACTTTGAAGAATGCTACTTTGACTATTTATGTGCATGTCTCTGTGTGGATATGTTCTTTTTACTTCTTTTGGATAGATACCTATGGGTGGAATTATCTGGTTTTATAGTAATCTATATTTAACTTTTTTTAAATGCCCAACTATTTTTAGAAATCACCGGACCATTTGCCTTCTTACAGCAATATATGTGGGTTCATTTTCTCCACATTCCTTTTCTTTAAGAGTAGGGAAAATTTATTGAGAGAAAGAAAGCTTCTGTCTAAGAGAGCCAGAAAGGGGACCGGAGAGTGCGTTGCCCCTTCTCCACATTACTATGAACATTCATTTTCTGTCTTCTTTAGAATACCCATCTCCGTGAGTGAGAAGTCATATTTCATTGTGGTTTTGATTTGGGTTTACCTGTTGACTAATGATATTGAACACCTTTTCTTATGCTTGTAAGCCATTGTATTCCTATGGAGAAATATCTATTTGAGTCCTTTGCTCATTTTTAATTGTCCTTTTTTTCATATTACTCAGAACACAAGCCTCTTAATGAACATTTGATAGCAAATATGTTCTCTTAGTCTGTAGGTTGTCTTTCCACATTCTTCATGGTGTTTTTGAAGTAAAGAATTCTTAAATTGATGAAGTCCAATATGTCAACTCTCCCTTTATCACACTTTTGGTTTCCTGAATCATTATCTAACCCAAGTTCATGAATATGTATTTCTCTATTTCTTCTAAGAGTTTTATAGTTTTAGCTCTTTTATTTATTTATTTATTTATTTATTTATTTATTTGGTACCGGAGATCGAACTCAGGTCCTTGCACTTGCGAGGCAGGGGGCAAAACCACTGAGCTAAATCCCCGGCCCTTAGCTCTTATATTTAAAAATGTGATATATTTTTGAGTTAACTTTTTATATGAAGTAGGATTCTCAAATCAGTCTTTCGCATAATAATATCTAATTGGCCTAGTACCATTGTTGAAAAGACTATTTCTTTCTCATTGAATTTGCTTAGTATCTTTGCCAGTTATCTGTCAATGTCAAGGTAGGTAGAATTGATATTAAAATGTACTATTTATATACCATTAAAAAACTACTGATTGTAAGGCTATGTATGTCACACTGATTATAATTCATGCTCATATTTCAGAGCTGTTAATGTCAGAATTGGGAGCTCTGATTGAATGAAATACATTATTTCACAATATAATTAGGTTAAAATAACTGCATGATACTGGTAGCTGTCTGACTACTGCTTCATCATTTTCTCTTAAATTTCTTTTAGAGTTTTGGTAGCTATTTGAAGGTATCTTCCAATACAGTTATGTATTATTTGTCCCTCTTGAGAAGCAGAGACCTTCTCTTTCTCGTTTACTGCTCTACCCTAGCTTGCAGTCAGAGCGGGTACCCATGATTTATTTATTTAATGAATGATCAAAGGCATTTCTTCCTCTGACCCAGTGAGTTTTACATAAACAAATAAGCTCTATTGGGAGAGTTTTCATTCAAGCAAATTTGTTTTAGGAAGTGCAACTGAGCAGAAGTAATGTTTGAAGTAAAAAGCTACTCAAGGAAGTCTGTGAGTTGTCCGTTTTATTAAAGGATTAGTGTGGAATAACGTTGTTTTAATAGCCATTTTTCAGCAAAAAAAAAAAAAAAAAATCTCTGAGGCCCTAAATTATTTTGCTGTTCATGAAGTCATGGTAATGAATGGGAACCAAATGACTAAACCATATTTCTAAATAAAGATTCTGCCCTTCCTTTTTTTTTTTTTTTTTTTAATTCTATGGCATTCTTATTTATTTTGGCTTTTTAAAAAGAGTGACATAACTTGTTGTTCCAAAGGATGTGAAACAAAATTTAACTTTAGGGCCACAACGTGACTTTGCTTTAGAAATAACCCTCACACATACACAGCATTTTCCAGAAAGTTGACTATTTGACCGTGGCCTTTGAAAATACTGAGGCACTGAGGAGAGTTCTGGTAATAAGGAGGTGAGGCTGGGGTTAGGACAGTCTGCTCGCCTGTCCTTCTGCCTGTAATGTAAGCATTTGACCGTGGGACTGTGAAAAAATGCAAATCATGGATTTCAAAAGCTTAGAGATACAGATATTAAAATATCAAGGCTCCAATTATTTACTTGCTAGTAAACCTCTAGTCTCTAGAGACGTTTTTGTCTGTATTTTTGACCAGTTTGTTTTTGGGGGTTTTTTTTGGTACTGAGCATCGAACTCGGGTCCTTGCGCTTGCGCAGCAGGTGGCAAAACCACTGAGCAAAATCCCTGGCCCACTTTTTCTTTGACCAGTTTGTTTTTTGGGGTTTTTTTTTTGGTACTGGGGATCGAACTCGGGTCCTTGCGCTTGTGCAGCAGGCAGCGAAACCACTGAGCTAAATTCCCGGCCCACATCTGCATTTTTGAAAGTGATAGTGTGGTTGTATGTCAATTTATATAACAGGAGGAAGCTTCTCATTCTTATCATGGTGTGAGATACCCCCTTTCCCCTGTAAGTTATTTGGGTGACATTTTTTAAAAATCTTTTTTTTACTAGTGCACATTTGTAGTACATCTTGTTTACATTCTGCTTAGGAGTTGTTTGGGTGACTTCTAACGAGATTTGTGAAAATGGACAGAAGTCTTTTTGATCTTGGTTCTGGAGGAGGAAGATTTCTTCCATCACTGGGATTTTTGCAGTTGTCTGTGATCTCTTCGCTCCCCACAGTGGTGGTGTAGTCTGAGCAGTCTGGGAGTTCCAGCTTCGCCCACATGGTGACATTGGGACAGTGACTCAAAATATTTACTTCGTGCACAGGCCCCGAATAGCTGCCCAGCAGCCAGGTCATGAGTGCCTCTTGTCTGTCTCTTTGAAGAGCAGCCTTCTGCTCCTCTCTCCCCACTCTCACTACCCACGCTTCTTCGAGTGGAGCTTCCACCTGGCCTGTGGGCGGGCTAGGTACTGAAGACTTGGTGTCTGGGGAGAAAATGCTGCTTTACAAAGAAAAACTTCCTCTTGAGCAGGTGTCTCGAAATCATGATGATTTGAGATTGTGACTGCTGCAGCTGGAGGCACTAAGAACAGTGGAATGAATATATATATGACACACGTAGAGCACCATATGACAGTTTTGTATGTATGACACATATAGAGCATCATATACATGTTTAGAGTATCATATCTATGATGTGTACCTTATCATGTGATACATATAGAGTATCCTATATATGACACATGTAGTATCATATATGACACATTTAGAGTATCGTGACAGAGTATCATATATAAACATGTGCCATATATATAAACATGTATAGAGTAACATATATGAGATGTTTACAGTGTCATATTTATGAGGTGTAGAGTATCATATATGCCACGTATAGAGTATTACATATGACATGTGTAAAGTATCATATGACACATAAAGAGTACCCCTTCCCAGTGCAGGGATTATGGGCATGCACTACTTCATCTGCCTCAAATGTTTATTTTGAGATATGGTCTCCCCAGGTTGTCCAGGCTGACCTCCAATTTGCAGTCCTCCTGCCTCAGCCTCCTAAGTAGCTGCGATTACAGGTACACACCATCCTGCCCAGCTGAACCAAAGTTTATGATGAAGCCTGGTGGCATATGCCTGCAATTGCAGCGGGTAATCACAGCTACTTCAGAGGTTGAGGCAGGAGGATTGTGAGTTTGAGGCTAACTTGGGCAACCCATGAGACCCTGTCTCAAAAAAAAAAATGAAGGCCTTGATGACATTTTCTTGTGGACCTGCGCTCTTAAAATTGGCATTTGTTTCCTGTGTTGCCCAATGTAGTTATTGAAACACATGTTTATAAAGAATGATTATTATAAACAGCTTTTAAGAACAAACTTGACTTTAAAAAGTCCCTCTCAAAATTTTTTATGCATATATTTCCATCACTTTTTCCTTAACTAAGTCTAGGGTTTTTCTAAGGCAACGGTGTGTGTGTGTGTGTGTGTGTTTGTGTGTGTGTCTATTCCACAGTGCTTTGCATCAGCTCTTGGTACATTGAGAATAATTTTCTTACAAGGGGGAAGCTGGAAAATGAATGTAGTCTGTCAAACCTAATCCTTTTCCTGCCAGCTAAATCACATCCCCTGGATTCTAACTTTTGTATTTTTTTTTAACTTTTGTATTTTAATGTCCTTGGTACTTGTCTTTTACTACCTGTGGAGACAAGGGAGTTTCATAGGATTTGATTTTCATAAATATTTTTGTGCCACAGAAAGACCTCCTGGAACATGAAAGCTGATCACAGTATTTGTTTAATAGTTAATTATTTAACAACTTGGTAACCAGAAATTTTCATTAGCAGTTACCTTATTGCATGTGCTTTATCATAATTGATGGCGTTAATAAAAATCCTGGGGTATTTACAAATTATGATGTATTTTATTTTTCTGATTTATTTTTCTGTCGTAAGTTCTGATACATCTATGTGTTCATATATTTATGCATATAAACTGTAAGATGAGATAAATAATGAATGTAGCATTTGGTGATTCAGAGGTGCTCTTCCTCCACCTGGCTGGAGAGAAATGAGCCCATTTGTCCCGAGCACACTGTATCATGTCCTCACCTCTCACCGTGTTCTTTCTCAGGCAACAGAGACTATGCCAGGGACGATCCGTTGGAGTTTAAGTCCCACCAGTGGTTTGGTGCCTCCGTGAGGTCCAAACAGGACAAAATTTTGGTAAGTCTTCTGGATGTTTCCTCGCAGGTGAGTTTAATCAGTCTCTGGGCAGGCACAAGAGGTGTTATGTTTTCAGGCTAAGAGCTAAATTCAGTGTGCTCTGGGGCCCAGGGCACAGCGAGATGACAGCTCTGATCGCGCCCCACCGAGGGGACCCGGGTTCTGCTCCGTTCCACCCCGACCTGTACGTCCTTCACTACTCCTGCCACGCTGGATGGTTCCCATCACTTTATTTCTGTCCAGCAGTAGTTGGCCCCGATTAACAAATGCTTTCAGGCAGCAGACGGCCTCCCCTGCCCATCTTCCCCTCTGTCCCCGCCCTGTCCTCGCCTGGTCCTTACAGGTTGGGCGCCCTGGAGCTCCATTTGGGTCCCTTTGTTTCTTATGACTCTGCCTTTCACGGAGCGGCTCCTGCTCTGTCCCACGTCTGTAAGTACAAGCTTTCAGTCCTAATTCCCAGACACGTGTGCCTAGCTCTTAGTTCTCCCCGGATTGTTAAAGGCATATTTCCAAATGACCCAAGTGGCATTTCCACTTGGATGTCTAGTAGATGACTCAAAATGAACATGGCCAAAACGGGACTCTTGTTACCCTCCGCCCCTCCTGCAGTGAGTCCTATCACTTCTGCCTCCGGGGCACATCCCACACCCATCAGTAGATCTCCAGCTTCTTTATTTCTGCCCTGCTGTGAGCTATGATCATTGCCCATCTGGGCCCGCACAGGCGTGCCTCTTGTCTCTCTCACCCAGACTTAGAGTCTACATACAGAAGGACCAAAGGGAGTGAGGGCACCTCACCTGCTTGAGTAAAAGTTGAGTGCTTTTCTGTCACTCAGGATAAGCATAAAAGATTCATCCCGGCTTATGCATCAGACATACTAGTATTTTTACTTATTTCCTCCACATGTCAAATGGTGTTGTGTCCATCTGCTCATAATGGTCTTCTTGTTGGTTTTTACTCGGGCGGCGCCTGGTCATTCAGATGGAAGCTTTAATTTCATTTCCTCAGAGAGCCCTTCCCTATTTCCATTGCCTGGCTTTTTAAATGTGATTTTTGGAGCATTCAGGAAAAATTTGTTTAGAAGGTGAAATTTCAGCAGAACTTTAAAGGATGTTAAAGAAAGATAAGCTTGAGTCATGTGTAGGAAAACGAGTACACCTTGAAATCATAATATTGAATGAAATAAATCAGACACAAGGGCCGGGGATTTAGCTCAGTGGTTTTGCTGCCTGCTGTGCAAGTGTAAGGAACCGAATTCAATCCCTGGTACCAAAAAAAAAAGGAAATGAATAAAATTTGTAAGAATAAATAAATAAATAAATCAGACACACAAGCTTAAATACCATGTGGTTTTATGTGAGAAATTCAAATTACAAATCAAGAGCAAATAAAAGATGGATAATAGGAAGTAGGGAGAGAGATCTTTCTCTAATGGGAAGAGGACCAAGGGATCGAGGGAGAGGGAGGGAGGGAAGAAAAGGGGCGAAAAGAGGAACAAAGATGTGCCGTGTGCATGTACCAACTCCACACGAGGAATGTAAACACTATGTGCTGCAAACGTGTACAACTGAAGAAAAAAGATGTGTTGAGTTTTAGCAGTTGGAGAGGAAGGAGGAGGGGTCTAAGAAGGGACCTGGTAGGCAGAACGGTGCAAGGAAGCAAAAGTAAGCAGAAGAGCAAATCATCCACTCTGGCTCATCGTGAAAGTGTGCAAAAGGAGTGATTCCCAGCTTCAGTTTTGTCAGGGTCAATATAAAACAACTCGGTGCTGATGTATGCAGTGTTTATGTTAATATTTTTCTTCAAATTGTTGCAGAAATCCATGGAACTTTCTTCCAGTAAATGAAACTGTTACACTTTTGGTGGACGTCCTTTATGCCATTACGACACGATACTGAAATTAGGGCTTTGAAAACAAAAGGCTTAATTTTTATGGAAAGTAAACAAAATAATAAGCACTATAAATTCTTTTACTCTCTTCTAGAACTATTTGCTGTATAATTTAGGATTATATCCGACATGCATGGCAGTGTTAGTAGTTGGAAAAGTGATTCAGCGACCTTGAACTTACCATGTAGCATGAAGAAATGTTACCTGAAATAATAATTTTGCTATCTATTTTGAAAACATGTATGTGGACTAAAATATGGCCTTCAGAAGAATGTGAGAAAAACACTTTTAAAGGCTTTATCATGATAAGACATGGGAGAGAATGGATTCATTTTTATTGAGGTGTAGAAAGTGATGCGTTCGGAGGCAGCAGAGATGGGTGGAGACACTGGTTTTTTTGTAGAGTTTTTCTATCCTGCTCTAACCCTTCGGTCTTAGGCCTGTGCTCCCTTGTACCACTGGAGGACTGAGCAGAAGCAGGAGCGTGAACCTGTTGGGACCTGCTTTCTTCAAGCCGGGACGAAGACTGTGGAGTACGCTCCGTGCAGGTCAAGTATGTGCAGCAGGTTGAGCTGCTTTTAGCTAGGGGGGCAGGGTGGGGGGGTTCCCACGTGCGCAGCAGCATGAGGGCGTGTGCATGATTAAGTGTGTGGGGTGAGGTTGCTGAGAGCCTAACAGAAACAATCCTACCCACTCACAGACGGGAAGCAGTTAATCAGCACATGCTCAGTTGAGCTTCTCTGACAGATGCCAGCCCCCCAAGTAGAGACAGTGCCCAGGTAGGTCTAGGTTAGTCTGGGTACCTGCTGCATCTTCACGAGGTCTATAAGGGGATCTTGATGGATTCCAAAGTTAGGGAACCACCACTTTAGATTGTTAATGATGTTAAAAATAAGAAATGAGAGAAGCAGAAAGGGTGAATACCAGTTTAGGAGGCCTGAGTCTGAATTTCCCAACCTTCCCCAGAGTTTCTCTGTTAACTTGTGACCAGGCCGGCTTCTCTTTTGAACATCTGGAAGATGACGTGCTTATGTCAAATACAGTTACTATTGTACAAGCAGGTTTCCTTACTCTGCGCATCTTTGACCCCTTGAGATTCCGATCCTCTTACAGTTCACCTTTGTGGTTTCGGCCACTGTTCAGAGCTTCTCTGTACTGGAAACAGACACGCAGGCTTCTGAAATGCCCTTGCCTTGTATCTGACGCATGGTGGGAAGTGTCACCTGGGCGTCATGTGATCGCTTGAATCCACAGAGCACTTTTCCCAAAGGCCGCAGTACTTCCCGTTATGCATACGTATGTACGTATCATAAAGTTTAATTTATAAATTCAGCACACTCAGAGTCTAGCAACAGCAACAGTCCCTAAAAGAGAATCATAGCCATGTACTATAATAGAAGAGACTGTATTTAAAATGTATGAATTGTTTATTTCTGGAACTTTTCATCCAATATTCTCAGACTGTAGTTGACTGCAAGTAACTGAAATTGTGGAAAGTAAAAAGGGACTGCTGCTTAGTTGTTCTGCCTGGGACAATTGTGAAGGACAGTTGTGAATTATAATCATTATTATTATTTTTACTGATACTGGGCATTGGACTCAAAGCCTTTGCACTGAGTTACATCTGTAGCTCTTTTTTGTTTTGTTTTGTTTTGTTTTGTTTTTGAGACAGGGTCTTCCTAAGTTGCCCAGGCTGGATTTGAACTTGTGATTCTCCTGCCTCACCTCCCAAAGGGCTGGAATTACAGGCAAGCTCTAGCATGCCCATCTTTGGCCATTACTTATCAAGTGCCACTTGTCCCTAGATAGTTGAGTAAAAAGAATTAGTAGCAAAAGTACAGCATTTACTTATTTCGAGACACCTTTTCTTCATGTAGGTGACGTGTAACAGGAGATCAGAGATTCTGCTTGGTCCTCAAAATTCTAAAGAATTGGACCTCTGGGAAACTGCAGGTTATTTCATTAAACACTTATTTCTTGGCCCACCCCCTCAATCCTGCCTGTTGTGAAGGGGATGTAGGCACAACACCTGGGTTACAGCAGTGAGGTCAGGACTGTTTTGCCTTGGAGGGGGCACCTGCTGCCTGGTCTTCAGTGTTCCAGGCCATCTGCCTTGCCACTATGGTGGGGGCTTTTGGGGAGTGGTCCTGTCATCTTTGTAGTGTAGAGGAAAGCTCAGGACTAAATTTGTGTTTCTAATTTCTATACTGCAAAAATGTTCACGTGAGAGGATCCCGACATAGCTCTCAAGAAAAGCCAACCCTTACGTGGCAGGGTGCGACTGACCACTTCCTTGACTCTCACACATACATACACATGAGCAGCCTTAATTCTCACTTGAGAGTGCAGGACCTGAGATTCCAGCAGCTGAAGCAGTTGGTTTCCTCATCTTACAGAGCTGAGGGGTGAGATGAGGGTTTGAACTCAGGTTTGTCTGTTCTTTTTGCTTTCTGGTACTGGGGTTGAACCCAGAGTCTTGTGGATGCGAAACACATGCTGTCCCCTGTCCCCGAGTCTTTCTTGCTCCTGAGGAACCTTTGGCGGCATTGCAACAGGACATGTGTTCCATTTCAGTGGTTTTCTGCAAAGAACACATTCTGCCTCTTTTATAGGTTTGGACAATTCTTGATGTCTAGTTCCTGAAAACCTGAAAATGTGTTCTCTAACCACAGTTCCTTGTTTATCTGTCACCTAAAACTTTCACTTATTTGGTTTAGGCATAGAAATGATGAGATAATTTTAAATCACATTTTCTAAGATATTTAACATCCAAATCAGGTCAGCAAACTATGGCGTGTGGACCTTGTTTTATTAAATAAAGTTTTATTGGAATATAGCCACAGCTTTTTACTTACACATCCTCTGGGAAAGTTTAGTTCTATAGTTGCCACATGGAATGGCTCCTAAACCTAAAATACTGACTATCTGTTCTTTACAGAAGAAGGTTACTGAACCCTGATCTAAATAATAAAACTTCAAATCTTAGGAAAAGCTCAAAGAACAACCTTATAAAGCACAAAAGTGAAGTGAAGGCCTTTCTTCAGCAACCCTTAATTCTTATACATATTTTCTGATCTAGCCCTTGAAAATTGAGCTATCTACAGGTTCACATTTGCACAGAGAGAAAATACTTAGGAGTGAAAGCTTCGAGTTCTGGATTTTATTCTGAAGTTTTGCTGATAATCATCTTGTAGCTATGAGTCCTTGATTCTTTATTGGTGAAACACTAATTCCAACAAAGCACCCCAGAGGTACAATTTTAGTATTTTGTATGTTCTTCATACTAAAGTAAATTATACAACCAGTAATTGATTTTTATAGAGTTAATTATGCAACCCAGTAATTGATTTAATAGGGTTAAGCCAATTTTGTAGGGCTACATTGCTGTCTTCTTAATAACCTTTACTTGTGTTGGTTGTGGTAGATTTTGAGGTGTTTTTGTTTGTGTTTTGGTGTGGACAAACTGAGTGAGGAACTTCACTGTCTATTTCCAGCTTACCTTTTTACTGATTAGAGTTGCTTCCAGCTTTTCCTAACTGGATCTGTGACTGTGTTTGGCGCTGTGCGGTAGACCACATGTCCATCTGTTCTCAGTGCCTGAGCCACAAATCACGTGATATAAATACTGTCAACACCATGCTTGGGCTGAGCCCTTTGTTCCTTCTATCTACTCTTTGATGATGATGTTGTCTGTTACAGGTTTTCCTCAGTTATGGTTTCCAATTGGCATTTCCTTCCACTTTTTCATTATTCAGAGAATGATGAATATGTTATTGATTTGAGGTCACAAAGCCTAAATAGGACAGACGTTTGTGGATCCAGCTCTGCATTCCCATTTGCTAGCTGGTTGGCCACTGTCAAGTTTCTCCATTTCATTGAAATGAGTTATATTCAACATGAAAAATTTTAAATATCACAAACGCTCAGCTTAATATATACTTATTAAGAAAAAATTTAATGGACAGTCATATTTTGGGTGGATATGCTAGGAAACCAGATAAAACAGTTGTACAAGTAAGATAATCAGAATAGGATGTCTTTATAAGTAGCCTGGAATAGTTCCACAGATGCAGTTTCAGTAAAGGAAATCAGTGGCTGACCTGAGGTTAGAGTAGAATTCTTCAGTATGATTCACTCGACACTGAAAACCCCAACTGCGCATTTTCCCACTCCCCTTTGGTGAGAAAAATTTACATGGGGGTAGAATTACACTCTTGAGGCCATTTACTTTAAAAAAAAAATTTAAATTTGGATATTCAGTGTGTAGTCTTGGGGCAGTTCCCAGGTTTTAAAACTGGGCTTGAAATTTTTGATGGGATTATTTGGCTAAAAAATTCTTGGAAGTTTTCCTTGTGACTAAAAATAGGTATCTTTGGTTCCTATATTTGGATGACCAATTCAGCATAACTTTTTCTATATTGGTAACGTTGGCTACAAGAATTCTTTGCTAACTGAAGGATGGTGTTTTCCATGTTCCTTGCTTTCCTCAAAACAAAACAAAGGGAGAGATTTTAGAGTTATCCTTCCTTTTATTATAGGTACTCTATTGCTCATGATTCAAGTTAATTTAAGTTAATTGGTTTATTATTTTAACTCAGAATTATTTTCCTTTGCTGAGAACTACAAAAAAGAAGAGTATTGATGGTAGAAGAGCAAAATTATTGACTCACCTATAGGGGAAAATACTTTTGAAATTGTCATGTTTAAAGATGTTCACTTGAACTAGACCCCTTGCACTAAATGGACTGTGAGGATATTTACATATTTTGCCTTCAAAGAACGCTGAGTTTGGGCCTTGCCATTTTCTGAAGTTCCAAATTGTGTTATTCATAGTTTTTTTATTTTTATTGCTGGCTATAACAGGTATATAGAGAACATGTATAATATTGAGAATGTATAGATCTCGTTGTTAGTATATGTAATAACTTAGCAACAATCTAGCATGTACAGGACAGTAGAAAGAAAGGGGCTCTTTAGATGGGAGTTTTTAGCCAGCAAATCAAAACTCCATAGTGTTTTATTCATAGGGGTCACACTGGTAATTTCTCAGGAAATCAAATGAAATATAAAAAACGTCAAAAATCCCAGAACATATTGTATATGGTAATAGTAATGTTTTTGTGTGAAATTTTGTTTCAGTTCTATATTTATTTTACACAGTGTGTTGGGCTGTGAAACTATCATCTTGGTGTGGCTTGTTAAGAAAAACACTGTATGGGCCGGGGATTTAGCTCAGTGGTGCTGCCACCTGCCTCGCAAGCGCAAGGTCCCGGATTCAATCCCCGGTACCAAAAAAAAAGAAAAGCACTGTCAATCTGCTGTTTGGGGGCGGGGGTGGGGTGTTGTTTCCTGGGGCTGGGCCGGCTCCTCAGCGGCTCTGTTCCCTCTCTGAGGCCAGTCATCCCCGACACAAGCACTAACCGGTTCGGACTGTGCTCATAACCGAGTGCCCCCCAGAGAAGTTAGTACCTTCCATGACGACTGTGGGGAGAGCAGATTTTTCTCATGTTTTGTGTTGTCTTATTTGTTGGGGTTTGTGTATATTTCCTATCTCTTTATTTTAGAAAATATTGATGCTGATGGACAGGGATTTTGCCAAGGAGGATTCAGCATTGATCTTACTGAAGTAAGTTCTCACTGAAGACCAAACACGATCCAGCTCTGTCACTGACTAAACTGTGCCTCAGATGAACTGGTGGCTACTGAGCTTCTTCCTGAGGTTTCCTGAGGAATGGGGGAGTAATGCACCGCCCCAGTCCTGCTGCCCTCCTGGCCCTCCCGGGGCACGCTGCTCTCTACACAGGGAGACGTGTGAGGAAGGTGGAGGCGAGCGGAGGCTCTTCAGGAAACGACAGGAGCCTTAGGACCTCATGCTTCATTTCCACTTGTGTGAAGTCGTGGGATATTACAGTTTTCTATCTCCAACTGAAATCGGCTCTTCACAAAGCCTACCAGTGGGGTTTTTACTCTAGAATTAGAGTTGCACCTTTTAAAACATGCATGTTGGCGACCTGTGATGTGCCCAGAGGCACTAAGTGTGGCTGAGCCAATTTAACGATTAGAGAAAATCTCACCGAGTGTGGCAGTGCAGGCCAGTGGTCCTGGCACTCAGGAGGCTGAGGCAGGGGGACCGCATGTTTGAGACCAGCCTGAATTATATAAGTGATTACCACAAACAAACCTACCACAAACAGATTAAAGAAAATCTCAGATGCAGAGCTCTCTACATTTTTAACTAAACTAAAATGCTCTTAGGAGTTGATACGTTTTTGTTTCTTTGTGGGTGGTTAGTTATTTAGTTAGTTAGTTATTTTGCACTACTGGGGATTAAACCCAGGATTTTGCAGATCTTAAGCAAGCACTGAAGGAAGAAGGCTGATCGCAGCCCTTTTTAAATTTTATTTTGATACAAGATCTTGACAGGTTGCCTAGGTTGGCTCTGAACTTGTGATCCTCCTGCCTCAGCCTCCCAAGTGCTGGGAATACAGGCATGTGCCATCATGCCTGGAAGAGTTGATAGTTTTTTAAAAATCTTTTTTCTAAAATAAAAATTTTATTTGTACTTTCAAAGATAAATTGTCTTAAGTATTTAGAAGTTTTTATTTTGTTTATGTTTTGTGGCATATTTTAAATATCAAATTGAGAATATTAACCTCTCCTAGAGAAGTCGAAAAAAAATATGGATTGATTAAAAGGAGAATTTCCTTAGGAAGCCTACTGTGGCTTTCTTGAAAAATGTGAGTGAGGAATGCCATCCATTTATGAAAACAGCAGAAAACAAAATCATGTGATGCTGGAGAAGTGATAGAGCATTTTTTTATTTTTAAAAATGTATCTTAGGGGCTGGGGATTTAGCTCAGTGGTTTCACTGCCTGCTGTGTAAGCAAAAGGACCAGAGTTCAATCCCTGGTTCCAAAAAATAAAATATATTTTCGGGCCGGGGGTTTAGCTCAGTGGTTCCGGCACCTGCCTCGCAAGCGCAAGGTCCCGAGTTCAATCCCCGGTACCAAAAAAAAAAAAAAAAGTCTTATCTTTATTTTTGTTTAATTAAATATTTTTCTGCACCAGGTACTGATATTTAGCATTAGCTTTTCTCACTAGATAATTGATTTAGAAGTGACTCAGTTTCATATTACATTACTTAAACTTGAAATAAGCCAAACAAAGAATGATAAAGTATCTGAATAAATATTAGGTTTAAACTTGCAGAACATATTTTCATGTAGATGTTATTTCAAAATGAAAGCATCCATGTTCTCAGTACCTTTGCAAACATTTCCCCAGAAGTATTCTCATAACAGGAAACTCATTGCTAAATTAACGTTTGTGTTCTTAAACCCCTTTCTGAAAAAATGATGTCATTTTAAAAGGAGGCAACTTGGAAGGGTCTTTTACATGGCCAGGGCAGGGAACTGTTGAGCTTTTGGAGGGGAAAAAGCTTTCCCTTGATTCCAGCAAGAAGAAATGTCCAAGTTACTGTGCTCAAATACAAAGTACTTTACATTAGACGCTTATGTTTTGTCCCAGATGTGAGAAATGCTAGTCAGGTGTAATTTGTAGTAATTTACCCTGTAACTTCATGCCTGTCTAGATGTATCAGACACTAAACCTGGTTTTCCTTTAGCAGAAAATTCTAAAGTGATTATTAGACACAGGCACACATCTAATGTCCGAGAGGAATAAATGACCCTTTCCCTGTAGTAACCCAGTAGTACTTTGCACTAGTATTTCATTCAGAACATGAAAAACAGCCAAGATCTAGAGAAAACAGTTTTCTTGTATATTTAATGAGCAAATTATAAGTTTTGTTCTTAATTTTATTTTAGAAAAGGTACAATGAAAACCACTGAGTAGAGTTTACAGTTGACAGTTCTGTTGTCTTGAGTACCTATATGACAGATATAAACGACATAACTGTCTTTCATGTTCATTGAATTGATTTCTGCTCTGAAGGCTACTTGTTTTTAAGTATCCGCCCTCTGCTGTGTGGTTCAATCTAGGCCGACAGAGTACTTCTTGGTGGTCCTGGCAGCTTTTACTGGCAAGGTAAGTTACATTTATTACATTACCCAGTCTGCCATTTGTGTTTCTGGTCCACCTGGTTTATCATCTACTTATGAAAATTTTCAAGTTACTCTATTTTATTTTACTTTTTTTTTTTTTCCAGTACTGAGGATTGAACTCAGGCCCTTTGTACTGATCTACATTCCCAGGCCTTTTTCACTTTTTATTTTAGACAGCATCTCATTAAGTTGCAAAGTTATCCAAAAGGGGCTTGGACTTAGGTTCCTCCTACCTCAGCCTCTTGGCGTGCTGGAATTATAGGTGTGCACCACATCTGGTTATTTGCTATTTGCTTTCTTTAATTTATCATTGGAGATACCCAGTTGTTTATTTAGTTAATATATATGAAAATGTTTAATTTTGTTTAAAAAGTGCTGCTTACAAGGTTATAACTTGTCTTTGTTAGGGTAGCATTCAGTACTCAAAACATTGTCGGTTTTTGGAATAATTGGAAAACAATATTGATTTGAAAGTACTTTTCAGTTTTGAATTTTACTTTGATGTTCTACACTGTGTTTTCCTTACTTGATTCTTTGTAGCAAATCCACACTTCCATTTAATTTATGGAAAGAAAAGCTAAAAAAGAGGGATTTACCAAGCTGCCCAGGGTGGGCTGCAACTCGGACCTGCCTGCCTCAGCTTCGCAGGGTCAGGGATGACAGATGTTCACCAACATTCCCGCCTTTGAGTTCTATCTTTAAGAGACACAGCCCTAGATGTGTTTAATGACTTGTTCTCTTAATACCTTGGGGATTACACGATATCTTTATGTATTCCTATTTATTCTAAATAAAGACAAATGGATACTATTAATATCACATTTATTGAAGTTCTTTTATAAGTGCTCTGTAATATATAACTAAAAGACTGAGTGAATTGGCCAAGAATATTTTATTGTAATAAGATTAAAATGAGGTGAGTGAGGTGGTGCATGCCTATAATCCCACATACTTGAAAGGAGGCTGAGGAAGAGGATCACAAGTTTAAAGCCAGCCTCAGCAACTTAGTGAGATCTTTTCTCAAAATAAAAGAAAAATTTAAAAAGGCCTGCGCGTGCAGCTTAACAACAGAGTGCCTACCTAACACGCAGGAGGCCCAGGGTTCAATCTCTGATATCACCAAAGGAAAAAAAAAAAGATGAATTCAGCAGGTTTCACCTTGAACAAATAAGTACATTGGAATGAATTGGCGTTTTTTTTCATGGATCTCAGTTTTGTCTCTGTAAGAAGAGAAAAAAATGATAGTATTTTATTCCTAATAGATGATTCATATTGCCGTGTTCTTTGATTCAAGTAGGATTTATTGAACTCCTCCTATGTCTGCAGTACATTTTGGTCACAGGGAGTAACCGACTGGATGGAAAGCATTTCTACCTGTGTGACTAACAAATTGGGGCCGCTTTTCAGCTCTTACAAATTTCTTTCTAAAACAGCAGCAGTGAAGAATTGTTTTCCCCACATTATGGAGACGCATTGTGGCATCTGATGAATTTCTCAGGGTGGTTAGTGGAGGGCAGTTATTTATTTGGAGGCAAGGTTCACTGAGTCACTTAGTTGCCCAGGCTAGGCTCAAATTTTGAATCCTCCTGCCTCAGCCGCCCAGCCTGCTGAGATTGCAGGCATGTGGACTCTGATTTTTATGTAGTCATCTACATTTCTTGTCCGCTTAATAATTTAAGGTTGTGAGCAAAAACGAACTCACTCATTCAGGTTGCTTCACAAGGCTGTTCAAGGAACCAGTTAAGATGAACACATTGAACCAGTTACCCTGCTTATAAAGGTCACAATATTTACTTGTTTCAGTTAGTTTTTTTCAGGATTTAAGGATTTCATTGGGAAATAGTGTGGGATTTAATTATTCCATTTTTTTTGGTACGGGGGATCGAACTCAGGACCTTGTGCTTTCGAGGCAGGTGGTAGAACCACAGAGCTAAATCCCCACCCCTTTAATTATTCCATTTGCATAGCATTGACTTTTAAAATATTTTTTTTCCCTGATCCTGGATATCGAACTCAGGACCTTGCGCTTAACAGACAGGTGCTGTGCCACTGAGCTACATCCCTGGCCCTTAGCATTGACTTTTTTTTTTTTTGGTACTGGGTATCAAACTTGGGTCCTTGTGCTTGTGCAGCAGGCAGTGAAACCACTGAGCTAAATCCCTGGCCCCAGCATTGACTTTTAAAATTAAAAAAAATCTTGTTTTAAAATTTTTATTAGCATTGACTATTAAGTACCGACCCGAAGAGAAATTGTTACTGTATTTCTTTTCCTTTGTAATTCTTTAGGTCAGCTCATTTCGGATCAAGTGGCAGAAATCATCTCCAGATACGACCCCAATGTCTACAGCATCAAGTATAGCCACCAGCTGGCCACTCGCGCGGCACAAGCCGTTTTTGATGACAGCTATTTGGGTAGGTAAAACCCAGGGACAGACTTATTTTATGGAGTTGTGGCATATTGGTCCTATAATTTGCATATAGAATTTTAAGTGGGAAAACAATGAAGTTTTTTTCATGAAGTTACATGAAGTAGATTAAGAGATTTTTTTAAAAATATGGGGGACATACAGTTTCAAAATTCTGTTAAATTCTTAGGTTGTGTTACATTTTAATAAATGATTTTCTTTTTGGTTTTTGGCTTTGGAGACAGGGTCTCCCTATGTAGTCCCGGTTGGTTGGCAGTGAACTTGTGGGTGATCCTCCTGCCTCAGCCTTGCAAGTGCTGGGATTATAGCGTGTGCCACCATGCCTGACCAGTAATTGAAACTGAAGAGAGAGATAATTCATACAGTGATAAAGGCTAGCCTTTATGACATGCTTGTTTTGTTTGGGGCTTTGTTCTGTTTTGTTTGTGTTCAGTCACTTAACCCTTGAAAGTTTGAAATGCACTCTGATCGCTTCTACCCTGCTGTGTTGAGATTGGAGCCCAGCCAGTCTGGCCCGAGCCGTTAGACACTGTTAACCCTCAGCTTTGGTCCTGAGTGTTTATCAGGCTGGTTCTCTGCATTTAAATTTCTATCTGATTTATGAAAACCAGTCACAACCAAGAGAAAGCATATGGTACTTGCTGATCAAGCAGCTCTGTTACTTGTTAGCAAATGGGAAATTCATCCTGTTTACAACAGACCCATTTATAAAGTGAATAAAACAATCACATTTTTCTAATACAGATATCCCACTCGAGTACTGGGTTATTTCTTGTAAAATACATTTATCAGAGCTGGGTGTGATGGCTTGCACTTGTAATCCCTGCACGCACAAGGCTGAGGCAGGAGGATCGCCAGGAGTTGGAGGCCAGCCGGGGCTACATAGTGAGTTCAAGATCAGCTTGAACTCCATAGCGAGACCCTGTCTCAAAAGAAAAAAAAAAGAAATCAATTATCATCAGATTCAGCGTGGGCCACGCCAGGGGCACAAAACATCGCCCACACTGGAGGAAAGCTGACCACCGCCTTCCCTTCTGGCTCCCTTTCAGGTTACTCAGTGGCTGTGGGAGACTTCAATGGTGACGGCGTTGATGGTAAGAAGTGTTTGAACTGCGTGGTGGTCACTGCCCGAACCTCACACGGCTTCGTCTTCCGCCCCCTCCTCCTCCATCTCCGGTCTGCCCTCCAGCTGCAAGAGTCTGTCCTGTTCTGTTCCCTGCTGTCTGCCTTTATTCGCTCTTTAATTTATGTATGCTCCAGGTTTCTCTTGTAAGAGAAGCCCTGCGATATTCTTGTGGGTCTGATTACTTCCCTGAACATTATGTCTTAAGGCGCCTCCCTTTCCCCACACACAACCCAAACTGACCTCTCGGTGGCTCTCAGAAACTTTGTTTGTTTGTTTTTTGGTACCGGGGATTGAACTTGGGTCCTTGTGCTTGCAAGGCAGGCGGTGGAACCACTGAGCTAAATCCCCAGCCCTCATGGCAGACTTTATACACAGACTTTACCCGATTTTGATTACATTTCCCGCCGCAGGAGCCTCTATCCCATTTCACTTTGCTTTATATTATTTTTCATTACTATAAATACAGTTTTTCCCAGTTCTTAGATACTGCCTTATCTGTCTCCTTTAACAAGGTTACAGATGATTTGGGTTATTTGCATATATTTGAATCCTTAAGAATGACACTGTTTTGTAAATTTTATTTTTATAGTTTACAATGCTGGCGTTTATTATACAGTCTCAAATTTTAAAAAAATCTCTTGTGTATTTTCTACTGCAGTAATAAAAGTTAGAGATCTCTGACATAGCCATCTAGGCCTGTTGTTTTTTCCCATGTTGCTCTTCAAAATGAGTAACTGAGTTTTAATTTTTTTCTTTCCAGACTTTCTTTCGGGAGTTCCAAGAGCAGCGAGGACTTTGGGAATGGTAGGAGGGATTAACAAGTGGTTCAGCAAAGCCTGGGTCATCCCCTGTCTCACTGTAGCTCATGTACTTTGTTTTTCTCACACAGGTTTATATTTATGATGGGAAAAATATGTCCTCCTTACACAACTTCACGGGTGAGCAGGTATGGCTTCCCACGTCGCCCCTGCTGCCTGGTAGAAACTGTGCGTGCATTAGGGGAACTTCGGAGAAGAGAAGTGTAAATTCCGGGTGTAATCCAGTCGCATGGACAGTCCATCTGACTCTGTTTCTGTTTCTTTGTGTGTCTGTGGGAGTGTTGTGTATAAACAATTGTGTGGCTCAGTGCAAAGGCCCTGCGTTCACCCCTAGCACAGAAACCCAGCTTCCCGCTGGTGTCTGTCCCTGTGTCCGTGTGTGGACAGCCAAGGAGGAGGGGATGGAGGGTCTGGCCTGGGAAGGGAGCTGGCTCTGCTGGGCCTTGCTCGCCGGGTATTTTGCTGATAATAAATCTGGGAAACTAGAGGGCCCTCCTGGTCATCATGGTGAGGGTGGAATAGCAGTCAGCCGGAAACCCTGTGACAGTGAGATGCGCCCGCCCTGCGTGGTGATCCCCACCGGCCGGCAGGCTCTGCGGCTTGGGCCAAACTGGAACATTTTCTCATCTTCTTCTTCTTCAGATGGCCGCCTATTTCGGATTCTCTGTGGCTGCCACTGACGTTAATGGGGATGAGTAAGTTTTAAAACGTGTCCAGAAGCATTTCCCTCTGTTTATAAACGCTTTCCCGAGCTGAACATTCTTCCTCTGCGCCTTCCTCCCCTTCTTGCCGATCTCCTTTCTACTCCAGTCAGCCCGGGTCCTGAAGATGAGCAAACCTCCGTGATGTTTTAAGATAGCTTTTGTAGGGCCGGGGATGTAGCTCAGTGGTTCCGCCTGCTTCGCAAGCTCAGGGACCCGAGTTCGATCCCCGGTACAAAAAAAAAAAAAAAACGCTTTTGTAACATAGCCAAAGTCTGTTTCAGAGTGACCTGTAGTTTGTAGGAGCGCCGAAGAGAGGCTCGGCTCTGAAGTGCACACTGCGGGCATCGGTTTGTGGGAGGAGGTGGTGGGGAGGGAAACTGAGTCACGGAGAAAGGCTGCTCGGGCACACAGAGCCTGAGCCGGACTTTGCCCTCAGCCTCGCGGACGTGTTCATCGGAGCCCCGCTCTTCATGGACCGGGGATCGGACGGCAAGCTGCAGGAGGTGGGGCAGGTCTCGCTGTGCCTGCAGGCGGCGTCCGGGGGCTTCCAGACCACCAAGCTCACGGGCCTCCAGGTCTTCGCGCGCTTCGGCAGCGCCATCGCGCCCCTGGGGGACCTGGACCAGGACGGCTTCAACGGTGAGCCCCGCGCGCGCCCCGATCCCCTGCGGGTCGCTGCAAGTGCACGAGGCCCGGCTGCTGGCGCGGCCTGTAGTCCCAGCATTCTGGGAGGCCGAGGCAGGCGGATCGCACATTCTAGCCCAGCCCAGGCAACTTAGTGATTTAGTGAGGGCCCTGTCTTGAAATTTTTAAAGAAGGGCTAGGGATGTCGCTCAGTGTGAAGGCCCTGCGTTCAGTCTCCGGTAGTAAGCAAAACCTACTTCCTGGGAGGATGCAGCCTCACCGAGAGACAGCTAATTTAAATGGAGGGAGCTTTTTTCTTTCCTTAAAAATCAGAGCACATTTTTTAGGCTCTCAGGAGTTACTCCTGCAGCTCAGGGTGGAGTGTAGGGTGGTTGCCTGGCCTCCTGCTGGGCGACAGCGCCCTCTACTGTCCTTATGGCTACAGGTGCCAGAAATGCTCCCGACCACTTTAGGAAGGCCTTGCCCAGCCAGCTCATACAATTTTGTTTATTTCAGCACTGGGAAGGGACCCAGCCCTAACTCTTACTAGCCAAGCGCTCTACAATGGAGCTATATGCCTGGATCTTTTTATTTTGAGACAGGGTCTTACAAAATTGCTCAGGATAGCCTCAAACTTGAGATCCTCCCGCCTCAGCCTCCCTAGTAGCTGGGAGTATAGGCTTGCACTATTGCCATCTATAAAGCGTAACTTATTGTAGCTAAGAAGTTCTGAATGTGGTTATATGTCTCTTCATGGGAAATTGTCAATGGTATGAACCCACTGTTTTATAACAGTCCCATTTCAGCAGATACAGATATTGTCTTCGTTACTTTTCTCATAGCTGAGACAAAATACCCGACACCCACAAGTTAAGGGAGGACTTTATTTACCTCAGTCTGTAGCGGTTTCAGTCCATAATTGGCTGGCTCCAAGGCAGGGTGGCATGGCAGACAGGCATCACAGAGGAGAAACAGTTCATGGAGCGCAGCAAAGGGCAAGACAAGCCTCTTTCTGTCCCTTATGTTATATCCACACTGCCAAGACTAGCTCGGTGCCAAGCCAGTTGGGGGACTGATTTAGCAAACATCCACCCTTAATCCTAGCATTGCACCGTGAATCAGTCACATGCTCTAGACGCAGCCACCTCTGCAAAGCCCCACCTATGGCTGCACAAGCCTTTGGGGGGACATCTGGACACAGCCATAACAGAGATCTTTAAAAAACAATGTTGACTTTCGCTATATGACTGTTTTTAGAGGCATGGAGCACAGGTTACCAAGATTTTTGTAAAGAATACTATTAAGAACTTTTTCTAGAGATCACAGAATGGAGAAGTGAATTGTTGGTTTGTGTGTGTGATCAGTAATGCATAGATGGACCCCTAAAATGTATAGGAAACTTATTAAAAAGAAATCTTTGAAAATACAGATGAGGCAGTGTCCAGGGAGAGGTCGCCTGGGCTCTGGACCACGGTCCTTCCTCGTGGACAGCTGTAGGTTAGACAATAGGAGAGTCACCTTTCCCAACTCTGCAGGGTTTCAGTGCTAGTGAACAACTAGGAGGTACATTTTGCTTCCTAAGGAAGCATTTTAAAGACTTTTGTCACCAGGAGAATAACGTAAATCAAATGGAACTTCGGGGTAAAGCTCATGGTAAAGCAGAAAGAGAACACTGTAGAACAGACCAAACCTCTACTGATGGGTAACAGGAAGTGCGGGCCAGGTTTAGGATTGTGTGTTGTATGAAGTATTATGGGTCTCCTTGCTGGGTGGCTGGGCGTGCGTGTGTGTGTGTGTGTGTGTGTGTGTGTGTGTGTGTGTGTGTACGTACCTGGATCTTTGTTCTTCCTAATGACATTAAGAGTCACTGCCCCATCTTCCTGTATTCCTCTCTCATTCAGCCAGGAAAGCTGTAGGTATCACCAAGAGGAGGATCAGAAACAAAACAATAAAGTTCCCTGTATAATGGCAGCAGGAGTGAGGGAGGCTAATGGCTGCTGCTCTGCAGCTGTAGAACAGCTTATGAAGCCCCAGGGTAATTTGGTGAGGTTTTTGTCTGTATCTCTCCAGAAAAATAGAGGAAGAAAACAGTCAGAAAAGAGCAACTAAAATGATCAAAGGAGGAAATAAACTGCCTGAAGAAGAGGGTTTTCCAGATGTGACAAGAAGAGAGAATTAGCATATAGGGAATGTTGAAGGGTTTAGAACATTTAAAGAATTTATATTAGTCATTCGACATCAGAGCCACCTTAAAATACTTTCCTAATGCATAAATCCATTTTGATGTTGTGTTTGCTTTTGACAGCTTTGAAAGGGCATAAAGAGGGGCTCTTTTATGTAATTTAAAACCTTGTTTTTAAAAGATAGCACATGCTTAGCTTTGGGCGTGCGGGTGCGGAGGGGTGAAGTAGGCACAGTGGAAGTGTCCTCGATCTTGGAAACAGTTTTCTAGTTTTCTAGTGAGTCAGGCAGCAAGTAGAGAAATACTGCAGAAATCCAGGTAGTGAGAGCAACTAGGCTTAAAAAAAAAAAAGCAAGCTGGCTGTGTTGGGACACCCCTGTAATTGTAGCACTGAGGAGGCTGAGGCAGGAGGATCACTACAAGTTCAAGGCCAGCCTGAGCTACACAGTGAGGCCGTGTGTCACAAAACCAAAACAAGGCCAGGTAATCGAGCGAGCGCTAGAGAGTGAGATAGAGGTGAGCAAACTGCTGCCCACAGTGGGCAAAGAAGGCCTCTGTCATCCAGGGTTAGGAGAGGCAGAAAGGACGCCAGGGCTTGGGGGTAGCAGCAGTGGGGACAGAGGAGGTCCCTGCTCGTGTTCCCAGTGGGGACCCTCGTGGGCCGAGTGCACTGCCAAGCTGCATCCCCAGCCGGGATTGTATCTTTTCTCAGAATATAAAATTCTAGGGCCCAGGATTTATTTAGCTCAGTGGTGCCAGCCCCTCCCTAGCAACCGCAAGGTCCTGAGTTCAATCCCTGGTACCAAAAAAAAAATTAAAATTTTATTTCTTTATGCTGTTTCAGTATAAATTAAGAAAAATAAAGATGAAATCGTTACTTTCAAATATATGAGCTGGAGTTACTTCTGCTCAGAAAAAAAATCAAAACCCATGGGTAAATAAACTAACTAGAACTGGGAGACCTGGAATGAACCTTCTGCTAAGGGTCCCTCCCTCACCCTTGGTCCCTGGTTTATTTACTTTTTTAATTTTTAATTTTTGTTTTTTGACACAGGGTCTCACCCCCACCTCCACATGTGGCCCAGGGCAGCCTTAAACTCCTGCCTACCCCCTCTGCCCCAGCGTGGGACTGCACCCCCAGACTCTGCTCCCCCAGTGCTACAGATGAAGTATTTTAGGTCCAGAAAGAGTAGCTGGTTTGTCCCAGGGGCCGATCCAGATGATCTGGCTCTGATAGCGTGGTTTCTCCATAGTTTTGCTTGAATCTCCTGGGTCCACTGTTAGTTTGGAGTAGCTGTCGGACACCTGGACCTGTAATACGGGCGTTCGCATGTGACGGACTAAGCTGCGCCCTTCGCCCTCGCCTGCTCTCCCCTCCCGTGTCCTCGCTCACGCAGCCTCCCCTTCCTCCTCCTGCCCCTGCAGACGTGGCCATCGCAGCGCCCTACGGCGGGGAGGACGTGCAGGGCCTGGTGTACATCTTCAATGGGCGGGCGGCCGGCCTGAACCCGGCGCCGTCGCAGACGCTGGCGGGGAAGTGGGCCGCGCGGAGCCTGCCGCCCAGCTTCGGCTACGCGCTCAAGGGCGCCGCGGACATCGACCGCAACGGATACCCAGGTGCTGCAGCCACGGGGGGCTCCCTGCTGTGTTCCGAGCTGTTATTTCCAATGCACGACTCGCACCCCCGAGGGCACCGGAGGGAAAACTCCACAGAAGCCATGACCAGAGGCTGCGTGTTCAGTCCGCGCTCCTGAGATGTTGGGCTCTTCTTTTGTTTTTCACGATCTCGCATCTTTATAGAGCAGACCGGGTGAAGGATGGCACGCGTGCGGCTGTGTTTTTCTTTCAAGACAAAAGACGTTAATGTAGGAGTTGCTTTTCCTATTCTAAAGCCTCAGTACTCTGGTGTAGTTGGCTTGTGTGCACTTGGCGATAAATAAGTGGGTTTGGGGTTGCGGTTTGGGCCCCCCTCTCTAAAAGGGTCCCCATCCCTGGACTAGCCCGATCACTCGGATTTTTTTACTTTTTTTTTTTTTTGGTACCGGGGATCGAACTCGGGTTCTTGCGCTTGCGCAGCAGGCGACGAAACCACTGAGCTAAATCCCCGGCCCCACTCGGATTTTTTTTTAAAATCCATTATTGCATTTAATTCTCCTCGGAAGGCTAGAATAAACACCTGGTTAGCTTACTAAGACCATGTTCCAGACGTGGAAAGAGTCGCAGAGAGGTCCTGGGCCCCAGGCTGGCCCTGAATCGCTGGGTTAGGCAGCTGGGCTCCTGTGGCCGCTGCACACGGGTGTTGCTCAGTGCACAAGCATGCTGAAGCGCTTCTCCAGATGACACGGGAGCTTTATTCTTATCTATAAATTGGCATTGTTTCGTAGTTTTTCTGGTATGAAAGCAATATGCTTCTAACTGAACTTTTAGAAAATATAGCAAACTATATCTTTCTAATCTTTTTTCCATATTCAACTATAATATGTATTTTCATTTTAAAACAAAACACTATTTATGTACTGCTTATTATACATTTTATTCACTTAAAGTATCTGGAACACCTCCCCATTTTTAAAATTTTTTTTATTTTCTTATTTTTAGTACCAGGGATCGAACTTGGGACCTTGTGCTTACGAGGCAGGTGGCGGAACCACTAAGCTAAATCCCTGGCCCAATTTTGTTATTTTTTAAAGACACGAATTTTAAATATCTCATTCTAACAAATAGCTGTATCTTATTTTTGTCTTACTTTTTGGCATTTATATCTTTATGCATAATTCTGCTGCATATCTCTGAATATTTCCTTAGGAAATTTGTGTGTGTGTGTGTGGTTTCTGAGACAGGGTCTTGCTATTGTAGTTCATGTTGGCCTTGGACTCACTGTGTAGCCCAACTAGGCCTCAAACTAGAAGCAGTCCTCCTGCCTCAGCCTTCCAGAGCTGGATTCCAGGCAGGCATGCCTGTACTACCACACCAAGCTCCTTGGGGAAAAACCCTAGAATTGCCGTGTCAAAGGTGTACACTGCTTTTTAAAGAAGCTATTGGTACACAGTGTCAAGTTCCAACCCCATTCCCTCCATAGAACTGTGTTTGTCAACTTTTTTTTTTTTGGTAGGGGGGATCGAACTCAGGACCTTGAGCTTGGGAGGCAGGCGCAGGAACCACTGAGCTAAATCCCTGGCCCTTGTCAACTTTTAAAATACTCACTACCAATAAATAAGGGATCATTTTCCCACATTAGTGCCTTTTAAAATTAATTTTGACTATATAATAGGTAGACAGTATTATTTTAATTCAGTTAACATTTTTGATTGTTAGTATAGGTGGGCATTTTTGCTCACTTCTGTATATTTAATGATTTCTTTTTTATGTCTTTTTATTGAAATGTGATTTTGTTTTCTTTCACTCATTTTTTTTAAACTTGCTTTAAATATTTAACTCTGTATGTGTATGTTTTCCAGTTTGTCACATTATATATTTTAGGAGTAAGGAAGCTTAAAATTTTTATTTAATTCTCTCTGCCTATGTTTTCTCATATGCTTTTCTGCTTTGAAAGGGTTTCCTTGTGTTTGTTATCAAGTGTATGGTGAGATGGAGCTCCATTTCATTTTCTTCCAAATCCATGAACCATCTGTGCCAGTTACATATAAAAGCTAATGCAGGGCTGGGGATTTAGCTCAGTGGCACTGCACCTGCCTCGAAAGCGCAAGGTCCTGAGTTCGATCCCTGGTACCGGAAAAAACAAAAAAAGCTATTACATTTGGTCCTTGGTGATTTGAATGCTATCTGCTGTCACAGTCAACATACCTATATATGCTTTTTGGTTTGGTTTTGTTTTTGAAACAGGAGAAATAGGGATAAAAAAGGAACTTTACAATGAAATTATAAAATCCACAGGCATCTGTAAAGCTTTTTCCTTAGGGGGACATACAGTTCCTTATTGCTGCCTTTTTTTTACTGAGTATTCACTAAAACAATTCTTGTCTGCATGGATGAAAATCCAGTTCGTAATGAACAGTTGCACTGAGTTAGTTACTTATTTCAAGTATTTTAGACTCATCAATGTTATCTTACAACCTTTCAGTTTTGCAAATGTGTGTAAATCTTTTTCATGTACATCGAGTGTATTAACATGTTTCTTCGCCTTTCCTTTAGACTTAATTGTGGGCGCTTTTGGCGTAGATCGAGCTGTCTTATACAGGTACCCTCCATATGCTCCTCATGCTTCTGTAGTCTAGGAACGCTACAGATTATTTAGAGGTTTTTTATTATTTATTTATTTTTTTGATACTGGGGAATCGAACTCGGGTCCTTGCGCTTGCGCAGCAGGCAACGAAACCACTGAGCTAAATCCCCGGCCCTAGAGGTTTTTAAGTTAAATGCCAGTGTTTGAATTGCAGTTTGATATTCTTGATTTAAGATTTGCTGTAGGCAACTCATACAAGGAGATCTCAAAGGAAAGACTGTAGAGTTTTTATTTAGAAAAACATTCATAAATTTGCCTTGTGTTTTAAATTTTGGCCGAAAACATTCTCCTGTGTTGTAAAATCTCTCCTTCTGTATTTTTTATCTCTAAAAACTGCACGGGTGGGGGTAGGGTAGCTCAGTGGTGCGATGCTTGCCTAGCATGCCTGAGGCCCTGGGTTCCAACCAGCAATGAGAGAAAGTGTATGGGTTTATGTTTTTCCATAAAAGGCAGGAAATTACCTCGATGCTGTGCCTCAGAGTTCTGTGACCACAGAGCAGAGTGTAATGAACTGCAGTGTGAATATTTCACTGGAGCAATATGTATAAATTCATACATCTGCTTCCCGGCTCCAGACGTATCCCTTCTGTATCTCCCAGTTCCACATGCCTTAGAATGTCACCTGCCAGTGGATTAAGATGTTCGCTCTTCTGCAGAGCAAGTTTATACCTGGCAGGAAAACTAACATCAGTGCTGGGAAATAGTGATTGTGTTAGGTCAGCACAATTGTGGGAGGACATGAGGACTTGAAGATTTCGGGGGTATCGTGATGCCAGATGGGCCTGTTGACCAGAGCTTACTGTATTTCTGTATAGGATTTAAACTTGTGCATCTGAACTGTGGAAAACTGTTTTTCCAGGTTGAGTATCTCTTACCTGAAATGCTTACAACCATACGTGTTTCAGATTTTGGAATATATTCATAGGCTTTACCAGTTGAGCATGGCTAATCTGAAAACCTGAAAAGACTCAAAATCTGAAACGTTTTGAGCATTGTGTTGGTACTTAAAAAGTTTCAGATTTTGGAATATCAAAGTATTTTGGATTATGAATGTTCAATCTGTATTTAGTTTTAGTTTTTTAAATTGCTGTTAATAGCTGGATGTGGTAGCAGACACCTATAGTCCCAGCACTCAGGAGGCTGAGGCAGGAGGATCACTGTGAGTTCGAGGCTGGCCTGGGCTATGTAGTGAGACCCTGTCTCAACCAAACAAACAAACAAAAAATACATACATATATATATATACATATATATGTATATATATGTATATGTATGTATATACATACATATATGTATATATATTTTTTTGCTGTTAACGAGTTTATATTCCTGTGGTAAATATTCAAACAGTACAAAAAGAATAAAAATGTATTTTTATACCAGTTGCCAGTTAATTAATATGCTCTACCAGAAATGCCCTGTGCATTAAATAAATCATGTTTATATGTGCAAGTATATCTGTAGGCACTTGCCCTGTGTTGTGGGATTTTTTTCCTCTCGCACTAAGATGATATCTTGGAGGTATCTTAGAGAGTACTTGGTATCTGCCCAGGTCGGTTTGTGGCACTAATATTTCCCGGTAGCTCGCATTGTGCTCGGCGGAGGTGTGGCGATGTCGTGGCCCATTTCCCTTCTGCTGCTTAGGACCGAGCTCAGACAGGCTGGCCAGTTTTCCCTCTTTGCTGGAGCTGAGTGGCTTCCCGGGACACAGGGCTTTTTGTCTGAAATGAGGACATTTTTGGGCAAATAGAAACGGTTGGTCATCTTATATTTAGGTTCCTATTGTTTTTTGCTGTTACAGCATTTCAGTAAACATTGTAGCATAGTTATGATGAATATACACCTAAAATGCTTACATCATTCCAATTTTTATAACATTTTTCTTTTTTCTTCCTTTTCCTTTTTAAATCTAGAGCCAGACCAGTTATCACCGTCAATGCTGGCCTTGAAGTGTCGCCCAGCATTTTAAATCAGGACAATAAAACTTGCCCATTCCCTGGGACAGGTCTCAAAGTTTCCTGGTAAGAATATTTGTGCAGTAGTAGTTGTGATTATGGTTAGTAGCTCAGTCGTTTAAGGGCTCAAATATTGCTGAACAGTTTCTGTGAAGCTACTCTGTTCTCATGACACAGATTGGGTTATAGAAATTGTTTTTCAGGGCTGGGGATTTAGCTCAGTGGTTCTGCTGCCTGCCTTGCAAGCGCAAAGACCTGAGCTCGATCCCTGGTACCAAAAAAAAAAAGAAAAAAAAAGAAATAATCTATAAACTAGCATAAAAGCATAATTTTTAAAGAATTATGATCAATGAGTATATTCAAAAATAAGGACAAGCCAATAAGATTTCAAAACTCACTTTATATTTAATTCTAAACTGGCCCTTGAACATTTAAACATTAAAGAGATATGACCCTTTTCAAATTTCCTACCTATGAAGAGCTATATGGAAAAAATTATCTTTCTCTAGCATTTTAGTTTTTCACTTATTCCTTTGCTAATGTATTCCTAAGTCCAGTGTCTGAATTCTTCTCTACAGTGTTGTTTCTGAAGTCTCTCATATGCTACATTCATGATTTTTGCCATATTTTTATTCTGCATATATTTTCTTGAGTTTTCTTTAAATTGACTCATGTTCAAAATACTTAAAAAATAAAGAAACCAGTATCTTTCTCATATATGTAGGAATAAATATGAGATTAATAACTGAAAGATCTTGACCCATGTACTGTTAAAATCACCAAGAGTGGTCTACATAGGGGGGCACCATTCATGTTCCTTATAAAAAAACCACAGAGAATTTACATCAAACAAGGAGCTGGTAGCAAGAACAATTTTATTTCAAAAGAGCTAATGAAAGATATTTTCCCTGATTTTGTTTCATAATTTTTATTGGGTTACTTGAAACATTCACTCACATTTATTGTTTTTGTTGCTTGGCATTGAAGTAGTTTCAGGCTTTTGGCTTTCAGTTTTCTTGCTTTTCTTTATTCACCTCACATGCGAAGGTGTCAATAATATGCTCACAATCGTGCTAATAACTAAAAGGCTGGAAGTGCATTGTTAACTGCAGTAGTAACTTTCATACAGTTTTGACCGTGGTGCACAATAAGAAATACATTTTCACCATAATTCAGTAAACACAATGCTCACATCCATTTTATTTATTTCATTTTTCTAAGATGTTGGGCTTGGCCTATTAAACTGATTTCATGACCTGTGAAGAAACTGTAAAAAACCCTTCCTCTATCTAGAGGAGCTTGCTGGCTAAATGATGCTGCCATGAATTTCCAATCTCAGCTGTCATTTTCCTCATTTCAGTTTACTGACAGGTTTGGTAAACTCAGGCAGGGCTTGGGTGATTCCTTGTCTCCTCAAGGAAGGAAATATACCTAACTTACCAAAAGAGGAGACTGACCAGGCTGAGTGCTTCTGTGTTTGGAGAATAACAGTGAGACCCACAGGCCTCATCACGGAAGCTGCATACTGCGAGCCGCTGATCTGAGGTTGCTGCCTGTGCTGTTTCAGGCAGCCGTGGATCTAAACACAAGCTCTGTTTCCGTTGTACATGTGCACAGATATTCTCTTATCATTAGTCCCCAAACAGTACAGCACAGTTATTTATACAGCATTTACACTGAATTACTCATAGTGACGTGGAGACCATTTGATGTATGTGGGAAGGTACCTGTGATTCTCTGTAGACAGGACAGCACTTTATTAAGGGAGCTGGCCACCCACTGCCATCGTATCTGCGGGGTCGGAGGGTAGTTCCTAGGCCTGGCCTAGGCATGTGATATTAGGTGATATTTTAAAATGTGTCTAAACTGGATTGTAGAATTTACATATTTTTTTAAAATTTTCTTACAGTTTTAATGTCAGATTCTGCTTAAAGGCAGATGGCAAAGGAGCACTTCCGAGGAAGCTTAGTAAGTGTCCTGTGGGAAAAAAACATACTATTTTAATGCTGCTGTATATGTAACACTTAAAAAATATTTTAAAGTTGAGCACGGCAGAGCATGCCTGTAATCCCAGTGCTAAGGCTGGGGCAGGAGGATCTCAGTTCAAAGCCAGCCTGGACTACATGCTGACAGCCTCTTTCAAAACAACAAAACAAAGAACAGTTTTAGGATATTTGAATAGTTGCTCAAGTTGTTATTGTTGTTTTTAATGAATGTTACATTAAATGTTAAGAAATGTTTGAATGTTTATATTTAAAGACATTTAAGATGGCAGAGTAATTGCTTTCTTGGACAACTCTTGAGCCAATTCAGAATAACACATTTATGAATGAGCATGAGCCAGAGAGCCACAGAGCGGCCCGTACACTGCCTTTGGACATTGGCCAGTCAGCTGTGGGGAGGGAGTTACTTTTCCAGTAGCTGGGGAGACCCCAAAGGAAAAGGAGTGAGAAGACAGGGAAGTGATTTTGGTCACTGAACTTGACTCCCTTCCCCTCCTACCTCGAGTCCTGTCTGAGCCAGCACAGGTGGCAAATAATTTGTACTCTTGTCTCTCCTTAAGAATCTATTTAAAGAACTGAATCTTAGAAGGCCTTAGTCCTGACAACTGTTCTCCAGGCTCTCTTTGGCTTTTTGGCAGTGCTGAGGTTTGAACACAAGGCCCCGTCTGGGAGTGCGTGCTAAGCAAGCACTCCATGGAGCTATATCCCCAGCGCTTTTTATTTTTCACTTTGAGACAAGGTCTTGCTGAGTTGCCCATGTTGGCCATGAATTTAGGATCCTACTGCCTCAGCCTCCTGAGGAGCTAGGATTACAGGCGTGTACTCAACTTGAGATGGAACTCAACTTGTGCTTCTGACTCTTGACTGCACATTTATTTGTGAATGATCCTCCACCTCTCATGCTCCACGTGTCACATGCTTCATGAGGAACTTATTTATCTGGTCATTCACTGTGGTAGCAGGAGTTGCAGGTGACCCCCACCATTCATCCGTCCTTGTGTTTAGGATGATGGTACAGGTGCATATTCATGAACACTTCATCGGGAGGATGGCCAAGTCTTGCAACTTGGACTGAGGGTAGAAGGCGTTGCTGTGGTTGGCATTGTTGCTGCTGGGATGGGACCCAGGGCCTGGCACGGGCTAAGCAGAACTCTGCTGTGTCTGCCCTCCTGCCCCATGGTGGAAGGCTTCATTCACATGCGTTCTACCCTCTGGACTTCCTCCTTCCTTGGCCTATGTGAAATTTTTCAGCTTACACAATTTTTCATTCGATATTTCTTTACAACCATCATTATTTAGCATTATGTGCATTACTTTGGGAAGAGTCAGATTAATTATTATTAAATATTTATGCAGAATTCATATGGTGTCATCTCACTGCAGTACCCAGGCTTGACTTAGCAGCTGATCACTTGTCAGAAATCAGTTTCTGTTCACATGCAAACTCTAGATACCTAGAACAGGGATCTGTCCGTAGGAATATGTTGGTTATAAATCCTTTGATCTGTGTAGACTTCCAGGTGGAGCTTCTTTTGGATAAACTCAAGCACAAAGGAGCAATTCGCAGAGCACTGTTTCTCCATAACAGGTCCCCAGCTCACTCCAAGAACATGACCATCTCAAGGGGGGGCCAGAAGCAGTGTGAAGAGCTGGTGGCCTATCTGCGGGTGAGAGACACTTTCCTGCACCTCTGCGTTTGCGGGTTACTTAACACCTTTTCTTTTTTAGTGAAATTATTTCCACTTCCTATGAATTGGTGTTTAACCAAAGTGAAAAGCACAGAGCAAAGATGCAGTGGAGAAAATCTGGCATTTGAAGCGTGAAAGTGCTACATGTGACAGTGGGTGGATGTCACAGAAGCCAAATTAAAGATCAATGTATTCCCTTAAATGATAGGCTAATGAATAGTGGATTAAAAAATGGGAAAAAAAGAACAAAAATTCCCCACAAAAATTAGAATTAAATAGGGCCAGGGATTTAGCTCAGTGGTTCTGCCACCTGCCTCACAAGCGCAAGGACCCGAGTTCAATCCCCGGTACCAAAAAAAAAAAAATTAGAATTAAAAAGGGACATAAATAACTGCAGATAAAGTAGGGATTAAAATAACAATATCATGAATAACCTTGTGCCAATATGTAGGAAAATGGAGGCAGAAATTCTGAAGCAAACAAAACACCACTGCCATGAGAGGAAACGGGAAGCCTGGACAATCCTACAACCATTTTAAATAATTGAATTGCTGTTAAGTAATCTTTATATAGGGCCCGGGGATTTAGCTCAGTGGTTTCACCACGTGCTGCGCAAGTGCAAGGACCGAAGTTCGATCCCCGGTACAAAAAAAAAAAATCTTTACACAAAGAAAGCACAGGCCAGGGATGGGTGTTTACAGGCTTACGAGACATTTCTAATCTTAAACAAACTCTTCAAAAAATAGAAAACCTAAAAAAATTTCCACCTCATCCTGTGAAATAAAGAGTTCTTACCACTTTGACTGGTCATAGATAGTACAAGGAAATTGAATTTCAGGCCTGTTTTATTCAAAAATACCTGTGTACAATTACCAAATCAGTACAAGCGAACTGAACTCCAACAGTTCATAAAAGAAGACAGATAGGTCAGGCAAGATTTATTCTAGGGTAACGTTCAGAATCTGGAATGGGAACTTACTCCATGAAGAGACTGAAGTGAGAACATGACCTTCTTACTTAGAACAGAAAAAGCTTTGGATGAAACTAAATAAGTATTCACAACTTAAGAAACACAAAGACAAAGTTATAACTATAAGGAAATAGAATTTTTAATGTACACAAAGCCATCAATAGCTATTAATTTGTCCAGATGTGAATTCGTGGTGCGCTTACACGTTGCTGACGGTAGTGTAAGTAGGAAGACCGGAAAGTAACAAAGTAAGATAGAGGTGACAAATCTTGTCACTGTGTATAAAATAAACACTGCAACAATTTTTGTAATAGCACAGGCACACCCAAAACAACCTAAATCCCCTTTGACCGAAAATGACTACATTGCGATATATTTACATAATACAGTGTTGCTCAGCCACAGGTTTGATCTTAGCTATCTGCAAGGGCACTGGTGAATCTTAATAAGAGTGTTCGACAGGAAGCAAATCACAGACTACATATAATCCCTTTTTCAGATAAAAGAGGAAAAAGCAAACCTGAAAAACATATTGTTTACAGACATATACAAAGTAGCAAAAGCTGGATTTACCAGACCTATATACTTTCGGCCCCCAATAGTTTGAAAATGTAAAAATTGATGATGCATGGGACACAAAAAGATGTCTAAAATTTTACCCCCCAAAATGCGATCATAGAAAAGCAAACAAGGGAATAGCAAAGCTAAAACTCAATAGTCCTGCCGGGGATTTAACTCAGTGGTTCCTCCGCCTGCCTCGCAAGCACAAGGTCCTGAGTTTGATCCCTGGTACCAAAAAAACCCCAAAACACTCCATAGTCCTTACTCCGAGAAGGATGGCAGAGGGATGGGAAGGGAAGGGGGCCACTGGGTGGCTCCGGCATGTCAGTGTCATTCTCAGTACTGTGGTGGGCGGGTGCTTGGTGCTCATCTCATTAACATGCCTCGTGTATGTCATGTGAGTAGCATATTACATCGTAAAACAAAAACTGTTTAGAAGTTCTCACTGGTGACAACAAGTTCTCCAAAGACCAGCTCTTACTTCGCTGACATAACACCGTTTCTCACTTTGGAAGATGTGAAGGCCATTCAAGAGACAGCACAGCTGGCTTGGGGTTTGCGGTGTGGATTTCCCTGGATAATTTAGGTCCATGTCGTCTTCCTTTCCTAGGATGAATCTGAATTTAGAGACAAACTCACCCCGATCACTATATTTATGGAGTACCAGTTGGATTATAGGACGGCGGCCGATGCCACAGGCCTGCAGCCCATCCTCAACCAGTTCACGCCTGCCAACGTCAGCCGCCAGGTACCGCACTGCCGAGGCAGGAGGGTTTCTGGCTTTGGCTTTTTTTGAGATGGGGGCTTGCTATGCAGTTCAGGCTGACCTTGAACTCAGTATGTACCTGATGCTGGCCTCAAACTTGTGGTGGTCCTCTTGCCTCAGCCTCCCAAGTGCTGACATTATAGATGTGCACCACCACGCCAGGGTGCTAGCTTTGGCTTTTTGAAGGTCTCACAGCTCATGCCTCTAGCCATCATAAAGGCTTGCTTTCCTAAAGTCGGGAGATGTTTGGTCAGAGAAGTTAGAAGGGGAAGAATCTGAATTTTTAAGGCAGAGATACTTAAACCCAGTAGGAACTTAGTGCAGACAGAGAAAGACAGTTGTAGTTCATGTATGTAAAACAGTGCAAGAAAAAAATGCCAGTTTATTTACACAGTGTTTTAGTATTTTGCTAACCATCTCTGATACTTCTGTTATCTTTTTCTTTTTTTGGTGTTTTCAGAGCTAGGTGGTCCAGGCTGGCCTTGAACTCACGATCAGCCTGTGATGGGCTCCTGAATGCTAATACTAGTGTTATCTTTGATGCACATTTTCACTGTTTAAAAGAAGTGATATATATTCACATGTACACAGAGAGTACATAAGTAGCTCTTTTCAGCTGTGCTCCTAGTACACACCTATAATGCCAGCACTGGGGAGGCCGAGGCAGGAGAATCACCATGTTGAGGCCACACAACCGAGTGAGACTCTGGCTTCCTTCATGGGTCCCTCCTTTCCTAGGTCATACCACAGACTCTCCTGTTGTACTCTGTCTGCAGATTACCAGTGCCCAACAGAAATACAGTATACTGCAAGCCACATTTAAAAACTTTAAGTTTGCTGGTTAGTGATGCTTTTTAAAATAGAAAGAAAACAGGTGAGGTTAATTTGAATAAGTTATCTGCATTAGTTCACCAGGGCTACCTTAACAAAGTACCGTAGACCCAGTGGTTCAAATAACAGGAATTGATTTTCTCAGACTTCTGGAGGCTGGGAGTCCACAGTTAGGCTGTGAGCAGAATTGGTTTCTCTGAGGCCTCTATCCTGGGCTGGCAGGTGCACCCCTTCATGTTCACTTGGTCTTCCTGCCTGCGTGTGTCTCTCTGGACTCCTGTCTTATGAAGCACAGGGCAGCCATGCTGGATGACAGCCAAGCTTGACCTCACTTATTCAGCGCTCTAGAGACTTAGCTGCAAGCACAGCCCGATTCTGAGCTACTGGAGGACAGGACTTCAAGATAGGAATTTGGGGCACACATAATTCAGCCCATGACAGTATCCAGAACATCATCATTTCAACACATAATCAACTTTAAAATTATCAATGAAGTATTTTGCATTCCATTTTTTATAATCTCCCAAATCCCAAGTGTATTATACACTTAGAGCATATATAAATTCAGATGCTAAGTTTTTTTGGAAATTTTGTTGTATTTAGAATTCATATAACTTACAGTTGAAAAAGTAGATGTATACAATTAATTTGTTTTAAACATGCTAGAAGTTTTTTGGTAGTGGATTCAAATACTCATTTTAAAATTTAAATTAATTAAAACTAAATACAATGTAAAAATCAATACCCCCATCACACTTGGCACATTGCCAGTGCTCAGAAGCCACATGTGGCTACCTAGTGGCAATTCTGTTGGACAGAGCCAGTTTACCGTTTCATCCTGCAGAGTTACAGACTGAATACTGCTCTCTGCAGCATGAATATTTCCCTCCATTTTTTTTTTTTTGGTACCGGGTATCAAACTTGGCTCCTTTCGCTTGAGCAGCAGGCAATGGAACCACTGAGCTAAATCCTGGCCCTTCCCTCCATTTTTGAAGTTCGACTATATGTAGAGTTGGTACTCCATGCAAGACATGAAGTGTGGACGTGCAGAGACTTGTTTCTGTAGGCATGGAAGATGCCGCTTTGTGGAGCATCTCTCCTCAGAGCACACGTTCCAATACTGCAGTTGCTCCAATGGCAATTAAGTCCCTTTTCTTCCCTGTAAAGTGGTAATTGGCCAAGTATCCCTCTACTGCTGTTTCATTAGTTATTTATGCAAATTTCAGATGCATACCACGTCACTATTTCATTGATTATATGCAAAATCCACTCCTTATTGCTGAACTGAGCAGTGATTTGTAACTAGCATGACAAAGAATCATCATAAATTTTTCTAATGGTTGTGATCTTTTCTTTTTCCCTGAAGCTTACAGCAACTGCTTATGTCTAGGTGATTGAATTAATTCACATAGATTTTCAGTTTTCATCCTAATTAAGATGGCAGTTCAGATCCCTGTCATATAATGCTATTCTAAGTCCCTTGTGACTTAGAAGCATATAATCATCGTCATTTTTCAAGAATTCCTTTCATTATTCTTTCCCCCTCAAAGTCCTTTCAACTCTACTTTTAATCTGCCTCGCACTCTTTTTATCAGGGTCTGAAGCCCTTTGGATGCCAGGAGACAAACTAAGACTGGCTTCACCTTTATTTCTCCTTTTCTCAATTTTTGTATTTTCTCTTTCACACCTTCTGCTTCCCTTTTTCCTTCCTCCTCCCTCCCTCCCTCCTTACTTTCCTGCCTTTTCTCCCCCCGCCCCCAGGTTTTTCCATACTGCTCCAGCTGGTTCAGTCTCCCGGCAAGATCCAGGGAAGAAATAGTTCAGGTTTGGCTTTGCTCACCTGTCTCGACCATTTTAGTGCTTGAGGTTCTTTTCCTTTTCTTGCTTCCTGAATGGCCATGCACATGCTGGGCTCATTTTGACTGCGTCTTTCCCCTTTGGTCTTCCTCTCTGTATTGCCACAGTCAGTCTACATATCCTCACTCTCTGTCCTCCACACCCATATTTTTGTGAGAAATTCTGGAAGGAAGCTTATTTTTCCCAAGCTCACACAGCTTA